TCTAGGCTGCAATGGGATAAATGGGGGAGATCCAGGGGAACCCCATTTTAATGAGTCCTGAAACCAAATAGATTTACTGTTATTGAACTATAAGGAACAGTGGGGTTCAGCCCCACTCTAATATGGCGGCTCCCTTAAGCTATTGCTTTGGAAGGCTGCAAGGGGACATGATTTGGCTATGTCACAATTTGAGAGCCAGTGTAGTGGTTAGAGTGTCAGACTAGGAACTTGGAGACTAGGGTTTGTATCCCCACTCAGTCATGAAGCTCACTTGGTGACCTTGGGCCAGTCAGTGCCTCTCAGCCTAACTCTTGTTGTTTTGTTGTTTAGTTGTTCAGTCATGTCTGGCTCTTCGTGACCCCATGGACCAGAGCACGCCAGGCACTCCTGTCTTCCACTGCCTCCCGCAGTTTGGTCAAACTCATGCTGGTAGCTTTGAGAACACTATCCAACCATCTCGTCCTCTGTCGTCCCCTTCTCATTGTACCCTCAATCTTTCCCAACATCAGGGTCTTTTCCAGGGAGTTTTCTCTTCTCATGAGGTGGCCAAAGTATTGGCGCCTCAGCTCCAGGATCTGTCCTTCCAGTGAGCACTCAGGGCTGATTCCCTTCAGAATGGAGAGGTTTGATCTTCTTGCAGTCCATGGGACTCTCAAGAGTCTCCTCCAGCACCCTAATTCAAAAGCATCAATTCTTCGGCGATCAGCCTTCTTTATGGTCCAGCTCTCTACCTGACAGATCTTGTGAGGATTATATGAGGAGGGAAAGAACCAGTGCTATTTTTCTATTTTTTAAAAAGAGGTGCAGGAACTCACCATGAACGCCTCTCTTATTATGGCAATGGCGCCCACCTGAGAGGTGCCGTAACTGAGTTCTGGTGAGTTCTGGCTGAAAAAAAGCCCCAGAAAGAACCATGTACACCACCTTGAGCTTCTTGTTTAAAAAGATGGGATTTAAATGCAACAGCTGCAACAGCAGAAGCAGCAGCAGCAGCAACAACAACAACATAACAGTAATAATAATATTAGAGAAGTTCAGCAGTAGGGCTTGTGGATTTCATTGAGGGCTTCATTATCGTTCTTCCCGTAATTTCATCACTGGCTACCTATTACTTTAAGAAGAGTAAGTTAGGGGGTAGGTCAGGCAATTCCCACTCTTCAGTGTGAGGAAGGTGAGAATCTTAGGAGGACAGAGACATAAGTCTTTCCTCTCATTAAATCTGGTAATCTTAACAATCTGAAAAATATGAGTTTTGTCTGCTGAACTGGCCAGGAGCTCGTCCACCAGCTATTGCTACTTAGCACATCTCTAGCTGCCTGCAGGAGTGCAGGAGCTAAATGTTTGGAATCTGATGTTCATAGGCCATTTTAGGATGGAGAGAGAGAGAGAGAGAGAGAGAGAGAGAGAGAGAGAGAGAGAGAGAGAGAGAGACTGACTGCTAGGTTGCATTCACACATTGGCACTTTAAGTGGCTTATAACATTGTAACACCAGTAAGTGTCCACACCACTTACTGTTTTTGAAAATGCTTCAGTGCCATTTAAAGTATTTTACCCTGGGTCATCTCCCAAGGTGGTCTGGAATAAAGAGCATTAACCTAATGCAGTGTAAAACATAGTGTAAATGCGTTAAGCACTTTGAGAGCCCCCGCTCTGGGCCACAGCCATCCCAGCATGCTTCAGGGCTGAGCAGGAAAAAGGAAAAAAAGCTCAGATTGTTACCTCACTGTTGTAGTTTTAATTCACAGAGAATGAATGCCCCCCACAGCAGCTGCACAGCACGCAGAAATTCAACAGGTAAAGCTCTCCATCACTGAATTCCCATGCCGGGAAAAGAATTGCCTAGTGAACAGCTGGCTTGCCGTACATTTCATGCTGAAAGCATTGAAAAGCCCAGTGAGTAAAATGGTGGCAATGCTTGGCACTCCCTAGGTGACATGGATTCCGAAAGGTGCTCTCTGCTGTGAGCATTTCAAAGAAATGGCTTCCCTAATTTCACCCCCCATGAATTATGGGTGCCATTGTGGGTCTAGTTTTAATGCCGTTCAGAACATAATAAGAGCCTGCTGGATCTGAGATGCTTTGATTTGGGCCAGTTTTTGGTGGCCTGTGTTTATTTATTCTGAAGATTTATACCTAGGATTTGTACCCCCACCAATCAAAGAACTATAGAATTGTAGAGATTGAAGGGACCCCAAGGGTCATCTAGTCTAACTCCCTGCAATGCAGGAATCTCAGCTAAAGCACCCATGACAGATGGCCCTCCAACCTCTGATTAAAAACCTCCAAGGAAGGAGAGTCCACAGTCTCCCAAGGGAGACCGTTCCACCGTTAAACAGCTCTTACTGTCAGAAAGCTCTTCCGTATGTTTAGTTGGAATCTGCTTTCTTGTAACTTGAAGCCATTGGTTCGAGTCCTACCCTCCAGAGCAGGAGAAAACAAGCTTGTGACAGTCCTTGAGATATTTGAAGATGGAGATCATATCTCCTCTCAGTTTCCTCTTTTCCAGGCTAAACATACCCAGCTCCTTCAACGGTTCCTCAAAAGGCTTGGTTTCTAGACCCTTGATCATCTTGGTTGCCCTCTGCACTCATTCCAGCTTGTCAACATCCTTCTTATACTGTGGTGCTCAGAATTGGACACGGTACTCCAGGCATGGTCTGACCAAGGCAGAATAGAAGAAGCTGTTTAAATCAGCTTACAAATCTGAAAGCAAACCTAAATGCAAGAGTAATCCAATGGTTAAAACATAAGTTATAACCCAATGAAAAACAAATGGCAATCAATATATTAAGCAGTAACAGAATATTACGCTTGCTTCAAAAGGGATGGTTTCTATTTCTACTGCAACATGAAGAAAGAGGAAGATCGTCTAACTAAGCTCAAGTGGTAAGGAGGTCCACTTCTAGGGTGCCACCACAGAAAAAGCCCCCTCCCCACTTCTCTCTTGTTCTAAGCAAAGCACTAGTGGATGGCAGGATGGGGCAAGGTGCTTACCTGACCTTCCAACAGCAGAATCTCTCCTGCTTACCGGGAGGGAGAGTGAGAGGGCTAAGGGAGTGGAGAGGATGGCCCAGTGCAAACACACTGTCAAGAACTCTGTATTGACTCTGCCACTGCATTCGCACAGCACCAACCTCTCTGCCGCTTAGGCCCTCACACTGTCCCACTTGGTAAGTAGCAGCGACTCTGTTGCTGGGGGGCCAGGTAAGCATTCTACCTCTCCCCACCATCTGCTATAGGAGATTCATTCATGGTATTATGATAAAATATTTTAACAGTTTCTTTGCAAATCTCCCAGAGTTTGTGCATGTGAATGGGACCTAATATAAGGAGACCGTTTCCTGTGGACCTGTTTTTTTTGTCTCTCTTCAGCTTCTTCATTTCCATCCTGGGTAGCTTTTGAGTAAATAGCTTTAAAACTGCTTCGCTGCTTCACCGGCACATTTGCGCTCCTGGCAGGCAGTAAAAGTGAGAGACGTTAGACAATCTTTTGTTTTGAAAAGTCACTCTGCTCTTGGGATACGGGTGAAACAGAAAAAATAGATGGGAGTTTCACAAAAGGATGAGCCAGTGTGATATGACAGTCAAATGTGTTGGAGAGAACTGGATTCAAACAGCTACTCAGCTACAAAGTTCATTGAATGACCTTGGTCCAGTTACTATATTTCAGACTAATCTACCTCAAGTGGTTATATAATGAGGATAAAAGTTGGGGAAGGTATACTACCGTGAGCTTCTTAAAGGTAAAGGTAAAGGAACCCCTGACCATTAGGTCCAGTTGTGGCCGACTCTGGGGTTGCGGTGCTCATCTCATTTTATTGGCCAAGGGAGCCGGCGTACAGCATGTGGCCAGCATGACTAAGCCGCTTCTGGCGAACCAGAGCAGTGCACGGAAACGTCATTTACCTTCCCGCCGGAGTGGTACCTATTTATCTACTTGCACTTTGACGTGCTTTTGAACTGCTAGGTTGGCAGGAGCAGGGACCGAGCAACGGGAGCTCACCCCATTGCGGGGATTTGAATCGCTGACCTTCTGATTGGCAAATCCTAGGCTCTGTGGTTTAACCCACAGCGCCACCTGCATCACCGTGAGCTTCTTAGCAGTGGTGAAATCAGGGTAGGACTTGGGTGGCAGACGTCAAGGTCCCAACTCAGCAGAATGAACAGAAGGGACCCCCTAGCTCAGCGTCATGTTCTCACAGTGGCCAACCAGAAGCCCATATCTCACATATCTCATCAGGTGGGTGTGGCTTGTGAGCTGAACTGGAACTCCTGCTGGGGTTAATTAGACTGCTGCGTCGGAAGATCCCTGTTGCTGCTGTAAGGTAGGTCAGTATTATTGTTCCTATATTTCCAGGTCAGGAAAAGGAAGTGACTTCCCTGAATCTATCATGTGAGTTCATGGAAGAGGTGAGAATCAAACCCAGGGCTCCCAGAAAAGTCTCTCAACTGTGCTATACCAGCAATAGAAAGCACGCCAGTGCAAGTAGATAAAGAGGTACCGCTGCAGTGGGAAGGTAAACGGCGTTTCCGTGCGCTCTGGTTTCCATCACGGTGTCCTGTTGTGCCAGAAGCAGTTTAGTCATGCTGGCTACATGACCCGGAAAGCTCTCTGTGGACAAACACCAGCTCCTTCAGCCTGAAAGCAAGATGAGTGCCGCAACCCGATAGTCACCTTTGACTGGACTTAACCATACAGGGGTCCTTTACCTTTACCTTACCAGCAATAATAAAATCATGGAGACACACTAAAGCATGTTTTTAATATTCTGTTGGGAGCCACCCAGAGTGGCGGGTAAACCCAGCCAGATGGGTGGGGTATAAATAAATTATAATCATCATCATCATCCTGGGAGAGAACGTCTGTGTCTTCTGCCCCATTTGACTGCTTCAGTCAGTGAAACCAGCACCGTTACAGGTGCTATACAGAATCAAATAATTGCAGAGTTGGGAGGGACCAAGTGGGTCATCTAGTCCAACCCCCTACAATGCATGAATCTTTTGCCCAACGTGGGGTTCGAACCCATGACCTTGAGATGAAGCATCTCATGCTCTGCTGACCGAGCTACAATAACTGTTCTGCATTTGTAAGAACTCGGTCATTTAGTGTGATAGCTCTTAACACTTTGAAACTCCTTGCCTACTGTACAGTTCTGTTTACACAAGCCTACCCAGATGTTAGGGACACGGGTGGCACTGTGGGTTAAACCACAGAGCCTAGGACTTGCCGATCAGAAGGTCGGCAGTTCGAATCCTCATGACAGGGTGAGCTCCCGTTGCTCGGTCCCTGTTCCTGCCAACCTAGCAGTTTGAAAGCACGTCAAAGTGCAAGTAGATAAATAGGTACCGCTCCAGTGGGAAGGTAAACGGCGTTTCCGTGCACTGCTCTGGTTCGCCAGAAGCAGCTTAGTCATGCTGGCCACATGACCCGGAAGTTGTACGCTGGCTCCCTCAGCCAGTAAAGTGAGATGAGCACCACATCCTCAGAGTCATCTGATCTGCGACTGGACCTAACAGTCAGGGATCCCTTTACCTTTACCTTTATCCAAATGTTTAGAAAGTTGGTGCCAGTTTTAATCTGTTTTTAGTCTCTTGTTATTTTAACTTTTTGGATGTCTTAAATTATCAATGGTTAATTTTTCTTATTGATAATTTTATTGTTTTCTCTGTGAGGTTTTTTTTTTTAAAAAAAATTGGCAGTGTATAAATTTTATGAAATAAATTAATAAAAAAGATCTGGGACTCCACAATTAAGCTCTTGGAATGTCATCTGAGCCATCTTACTCAAATTGGGGAGCAAGCGGGCACAGGGCCATATAGCACCAGTCTTAAAGGATCTACATTGGCTCCTGGTATGTTTTGAAGCACAATTCAAAGCATTGGCAATGACCTTTAAAGCCCTAAATGGCGTCTCCACCCACATTGTTCAGCCTGGACACTGAGGTCCATCTCCAAGGGCCTTTTGGCAGTTCCCTCATTGCAAGAAGAGGCAGAGGGCCTTCTCGGTAGTGGCGCCCTCCCTATGGAACGCCCTCCCATCAGATGTCAAGGATATAAGTAAATATATAACCTTCAGAAGACATCTGAAGGCAGCCCTGTATAGGGAGGAATTTTAAGGCTTAATGTTTTACTGTGATTTTATATTCTGTTGCACAGAGTGGTAACCCAGTCACATGGGCAGGGTGCAAATAAAAACTATTATTTTTATTTATTTCATTACATTACCTTGTTAAGTGGCTGCATACAATTCTGAAGAGAGAGTCAGGAGCAACAGGTTGCTTTTGAGGGGAGAATCATTTGCATGAAATAGCAAGCATTGCAAGTGCCACTGCTGGGTTATTTATCACAGCTATGTTATATAATAACCAGTCTCCACAGGGCACAAAACTAATAAATGGGCATTTAAGTCAGGGGGAAAGCAGCCTAACAGGTAACCATCCATCACAATGCAGGCACACATGTTATTATGCAGAGTGCCAGATAAGCAATGCTTCCTTGTGTCCCTTTTTAAATGCAGCATCTATACAGACAGGAGCACCCACGGAGGAATGGGTCGTTTCTTTTTCTACTGCGGTCAGCTACTGATGGCTTGCTAAGTCCTGAACGCGTATTCTCCGTTTTACCAGCAGATGGCGCTGAGACTTTATCTTCTGCAAGCCTTTCTGGAAACGTAATATCGCGCTAGAATCGCTCACCTTGACAAAACCGAAACAAATGTTGCCCCAAGCAAGGCCGCCTTAATAATATGAAAGGATTAGCTGAAAACTTAACAGATAAATAAAAATAAAATAAGTACTGGAAATAAAAACTGCATAGGAGAAGATAGTGTTTTAAAAACCAATGCACAGATTCAGTTTTCTGGCCATTTGCCGCTTTCCCCACAGAAGAAAATGAAAGCCATGCTTTTGGGAAAGAATGAAAACTTCGACAGGTTTGGAATTGCCCAAGAAAGATGTTAAATTATTTTTGTATGCCACGATTGCAGCTAGAATTTTGTTAGCGAAGAACTGGAAAACACAAGAAGTACCAACAGTGGAAGATTGGCAGATGAAGATGATGGACTTTTCAGAGCTGGCGGACCTGACTGGAAGAGTCCGTGACCAGAAGGAGGAGGACTACCAGGAAGAATGGAAGAAATTTAAAGACTATTTAGTTAAATATGTCAAAATAATTTAATTAGAAAAGCTTTCAAATACTAGATAGGCTTAGGATTTAAGTATGTAAGGACAGAATTTAAGATGTTTAAAGACAAATTTGAAAGAACGAAAGATGTTAAGTGACTAAGTTAACTTTCTGATAAAACTGAGTTTGGAAAACTGTTAAAATGATATATAATGAAATTCAACCAAGGGGATTTGAGGAAGTCACTAAATAATGTTACCAAGATTTAAATAGGATGTATGTTTGTGTGTTTGTTTGTTTGTTTGTTTGTGTGTTTGTCTTTTATTTTTATTTTATTTTATTTTATTTATTTTTATTTTTACCTTTACTCTGCAAGGATACTCTTCTCATGGATTCTTTTATGCCAACAAGGGTCCGAGGACCAGGCTGAAGCGACAAAGGGAGGTCAGAACCTTTTTTTTTTTTTACAAACACTGACAAAGACTTCAGTTATCCCCAGGGTAAAAAAAGGGGGACATTATCTACCTGTCCTGGGCCTCTGCCTGGCTCTGCAAGGGGCCCTGCTCACAGACTCCTCTCCATCTTCTATCCCGGCAAGCAAGAGTCACGATCAGAGGTCAAAGGACATGTTCCCACCAGGGCAGGAGACTGAAGGGGTAGGTTTGCAAAGCAGGGCCAGTCATGGGTGTGGCTGGGGAGTGAGGAGGGGCTGGGGAAAATCCCAAGGGCCAGACGGAGAGGCACGAGGGGCCACAATTGCCCCCAGGCCTGAGGTTCCCCATCCGTGCTGTCAACCAAACCACACATGTAATAACAATAATCAGTGCTTTTTTTCTTTAAAAATGTTTAGGGGGTACTCTAATTTTGACTCAAGAAAAAAATTACCATTTTATAGTTCAAATCGGGGAAAATAAATACAGTAAATGGACAAAAGTACAAAGATTCACACAATGTTTAGGGGTATGCATATCCCTGCGTACCCCCAGAAAAAGCACTGATAATAATAGTAATAATAATAATATAGTATTATATTATATATTGAGTCCAGTATTGTATTGTTTTGTATTGTATTGTATTATAAAATATTGTATTGTATTGTATTGTATTGCATTGCATTGCATTGCATTGCATTGCATTGCATTGCATTGCATTGTATTGTATTGTATTGTATTGTATTATTAATGGGACTCAAGGAGGCTTACAGATAAAAGCAAGAAATATTAAAAACACTAAAAACATAAAAATCAATAAGTAAATACAACTAAATAAATACAACTAAACTTTGATAGAATTAAAACTATATACATATATAAAATCTGTTTAAAACATACCAATAATTACAATAAAAACAGCCCTTTCATTAAAAGCTAGTCAGTTCCCAGAGGCCTGTTGGAACAAGAAGGCTGTCTCTTAAACGACAGCAAGGAGGGAGCCAGTCTACCTTCCTTATAGGAGTTCCAGTCTGGGAGCAGCCAGTGAGGAGGCCAGTGTTGTGAGCTCTGGCTGGCAGTTGCTCTCCTGGAACTTGGGCAGAGGTCTTGCCTAGCAACCTGCCTCCTGAGTCATTAACTGGAGGTGCCAGTGATTTCGCAAGGCACCTGCTCCATCACTGCTCCCTATCCCTGAACCAAGGCCAAGGGGTTAAAAGCATTGCATTGCTCCCAGTGCCTTTCATCTCATATAGATGGTGAGTCCTCAGGATAGGGATCTGCCCGCTCTGCTTTTTTTGTGGTCTAAAAATACAGGGCAGGATCTCACTGACAACATTTAGCATGCATTTCAAGTCACGGTTTACGGGAGCCACAGATTTGGGGAAATGACCAGCACAACATTTTTTCTTCAAATCCCACAACAAGCAGACAACAATAATTATAATAAAGTAAGGTAAAGGTAAAGGGACCTCTGACCATTAGGTCCAGTCGTGACCGACTCTGGGGTTGCGGCGCTCATCTCGCTTTATTGGCTGAGGGAGCCGGCGTACAGCTTCCGGGTCACGTGGCCAGCATGACTAAGCCACTTCTGGCAAACCAGAGCAACGCACTGAAACGCTGTTTACCTTCCCGCCGGAGAGGTACCTATTTATCTACTTGCACTTCGACGTGCTTTCGAACTGCTAGGTTGGCAGGAGCAGGGACTGAGCAACGGGAGCTCACCCCGTCGTGGGGATTTGAACCGCTGACCTTCTGATTGGCAAGTCCTAAGCTCTGTGGTTTAACCCACAGCGCCACCCTTATAATAAAGTACATAATAAATAAATAAATAATGCAATAACTTTTTTGCTTTATATACTGCTTAGTGTTAAAATAGGCTTTTAAGCGGTTTACAAGTATAAAAACCAATTGCACTGATAACAATACAGACCCATAGCCAGGACTTTTTTTCCAGCCGGAACTCAGTTCTGGCACCTCTCAGGTGGGCACCATTGCCAATATAAGAGAACAAGCGAGGTGTTCATGGTGAGTTCTGGCACCTCTTTTTCTAGAAAAAGAGCACTGCCCATAGTCAAGAGTTTGGCCAGTCTGTTCAAATCCTTATATGATGCCCATGACTCACTTGACTCCTTGGTTGCCATTCACATGGCTTCTTGGCCCATCCCCTTCCTGCTGGAGCAAAGAGAGTTTCCTATCACTAGACACTGTGCACAGTTTCTTCCCTAGTACAATCAGATTTTTGTTTTCATGATACCAGTTCCATATTAGGGCTGAGGATTTATTTCCTTTAGCTGCCACTATGTGCCCTTAACAGTTTGTGACAAAGGTCTGGGCGCATGCACTGAGTCACTCAGGAGGACGGAAGTCACATGATGCCCGGAATCCTGTAAGCCAGGATTTGTGCTTTTGGAACTCAAAAAGTAGATCTATGATAATGATTGTGTTCCTTCTTTGTGCATAATGATGTATAAAGTCATGTTGTTGTTGTTCTTGTTTTGTCATTTAATCATGTCCGACT